AGGAAGTCGAATCTTCACTTCATCATAAAAGTTTGGATTCTTATTATGGTAAGACACGGAAGTGAAGCACTCGTGAGTCATTTCAGGGCACGATGATCTCCCGAAAATGGCTGTGAGTGCATCAGCTTCTTGTTCACCGCCCATAAGTTGAATTCGCACAGCAATGTTACGTGCAGAGCCAGTTCTAGAGCTAAAATTTGCTTCCTGTAATAGAAAATAGTTTTTATTCGTATATTTTAAAAATTAATTAGATACAGAAGAACTGAATGACAACTTACCTTTGGATAAATGTACAAAATATTTCGGTATGTCAAATCTGGCGAAATAATTTCACTTGGAAACTCGAGTATTTCTTTGACTGGTCGATTCTTTTCATCAGGATATGGCACTAGTCTTCTAAGGTCAGGATCTAAGCATCTAGGTAATTCTTCGGGTCTAGGACTGAGATCCAGTTTTAATATGCCTGGTAGACATTTGAGTCGTTTTAAATTAGAGCCAGGTCGGCGTAATTCAACTAAAAGTTTGTATAGATCTTCATCCCTCAGACGTTCACTTTCTTGTTTAAAGAAGCTCGAAACAGTCAACGTGATAGGCCTAAAAAATTAAATATCCATTGGCATATATTGATTTCAAAGTACATAGATTAATAAAATAAGTGAGAATTAATTTAATAGCAATTGAAATAAAAACATGTACCTAAATGTATCAAGACAATTGGCAAAGTCGTCTGGCGACCAACTACGTCTTTTATCGGAACTCCTTCTTTCTAAGGAACCTCTTCTAGCTGGTGGTTCCACCTTTTTACGCCACTGTTCTAATCCTCCAGATTTTCTGTCTAAAGATCCAGCACTTCCAGTGCTATCTGTATCTCCACCACCTCCTATCACGGCAGAGAGGTGAATAGCTGTCCATGCCAATGGCATTCTGTACCGACCCAAACGTTCACACGCAGCTACAGCAGCTGCTCTCACCTATTTTGAATTAGATCATTTAATTATTTCATGTGATATGTTTATAATTGAATAATCCATAGACTGTATGATTACTTTTTCTTTATTTTTATCTTCGCGTAAATATGGTTCAGCACATTCCGAGATATCGCCTTGTAATACTTTTTCGAGTCTAACAACTAAAAATAAATCTGGACTGGGTTTATTGATACTCATAACACAACTTCTTGCCAGAGTGCTGGCATCACTGTATGCAATGTGTCCACTAAGCATCTTCTTTAAGCTTTCTGAATTCATGTCTACATAAAAATTTTCAGATACCTGTAGGTTCAAAATAAATTAGGAAAGAATATATTATATATGAGTAGATTCTTATAAAGGTTTTAGCTTCAAGTACCTTCTTCTTCTCTTTGGCATCATATAATGCTAAACTTGCAAATATAGGTTCAACCTCCAATTCTAACTTTAATTGAAGACATTTTACAAGAATTTTATGAGAAAAGGGTTCTGTAGGTTCTGGTGCTGCACCAATCTCCTGCCATTCATCATCTGGAGAAGCTGGGGGTGCATAGAGTGGGAATAATGCTTCCTAAAATTAACATCAATGAAACACAATTACTAAAACCTGATCTTGTTCATGCAGGACTTACTTGACGATCTTCTGATCGTTTTTGTTCATTCATTTGGTCAATGGTTTCTGGACACACTCTGTCCAATAAGCTTGGAAGAAGAGGATCATGTTGTGAATGCCTCAAATCCAAACTTGCCCAGGATCCTCTTGGTGTATCTCCACAATTAGACAGGTCCTCTTCTTCATTAGGTGATCCTGATCCATTTGTATCCTCTTGATCCACCTGTTTTACATTTGTTTTAAACGTGTTTCTCAATTATTTGATGTACATATTTTATTCTTACTCAAGCACCTCAAAATCTTGTCTTGGAGTATCCTGAAGTAGTCTATCTCTTGCTATGGGAGAAACTCTACGTTTATACTTTCTGTGTACTATTACCCAGTCTGAGGTAAAACTATCGATACATCTTTTCACATAAGGAGATACTGTATCTCTACAAAATTTAGAAAGATTATTATAAATACAAAAATATTGGTTTGATTGTTTGTAAATTGAAACAAATCTTACAAAGATTCATGAGGCACAACTGGTTCCTCTGTTCTGATTTTTCTTTGCACAACTTTTAATTCCACATCTCCAGGTGGAAAATCTAATATTGATTTAAGGGGATCACGATCAAGAACTGACTGATGTTGAGCCAAGAACTCTTCATAATCTAGTGGCTCTAGTACCTCACACAGTGACATCTTTAAAATATTTTGGCAATTGTATTAATGTACAGCTTATAGTTTATATAGATGAATTATACTTCAAGATATACCGTAGAAGAAAAGCCTGAGAATGTGCTGCCACTTTTTGATAGATCCCGAGAATATGAGGTAGAAGTAGCAATTTGACGTCTAACATCAGCTGCATGCTGTTTACTCAATTTCTGAGTAAAAGCCCGCTGTACAGATGACATTATAAATGCCGTGGTAAAATACTCCTTTGAAGAAATCCTAGACATTTTGTTTAAAATTTTTTTAAAGGAATATGGAACCAAATAAATGATAGAATTAATAATTATGGTGTAATTCTAGTATTTGCAGTTAAACTTTTATTAGATAAATTACAATTACATTTATTTTATTTATTCCTATATTTATTCCTCATATACTTTTTATTACTCATGCATTAACTAGACTCACATACATTATAGTACTTAAAAGACAATGTATGCAATTAGGACGTCTATAGTGAAAAACAAAAGACTACACTCACGTGACTTTGTTTACTAAAACTTCATTATGCAAAAATTGTGAACACCTTTAAGTCAATATCCTAATATTTTGACAGTTCTTGTCATGAATTTTTGTTGCACCAGGGATGTGCCTTTATCAAGCTAAAATTCCCATTAATACCATAAAAGTACACTATAGAGTGGAAACTGCAACAGAAAATTGATCGCAAGCTGCCTGATATTTAGCGCTATCATTTGGTCAAAAGTAGACATTATATGCTTCCTAAAAATTCTTTTTCTTATAGTTATTATGAGAATATTTAATAGATATATTCCAAAATGAAGTTTGATATGAAATTTATTATATTTAATCAATTTCTCATTGAATATTTTTATGCAATTGCAATACTTTTTCAAGTTTCATTAACAGTATTAATTTTCACAATACAAAATTTATTTTGTTCCTAAATTTTTGTATTTTGAACCTAAAATTAATACAATGTTAAAAAAATTAAAGACAAGTGTATAAAATGATAGAAACTTTAATTCTAGGTACTGTAAATGTCTTGATATTTTAGAATTCTGGATTGGCAGCTCTGGTGCTGGTAACACCCATCTAGTTCCCACCCGGCTTCCCCATATACTGGGTGCTCTCGTGAAACCCTAGCATGAAATATCACTAGTACTTCCTACATACCATGTGGCTCTTAAAAAATTGATTTCCAACAATTTCATACTTAAACAGTCATTTTTAAACTCAATTCCAAAGTGGATTGCAAGTAGAATTACTAAATTAAAAAAATTATTACAAATATTCTTCAATAATTACCAAACACTAGCTTTTACTATTACCATTCCCAATTTCCATCAATGACAAAAGCTCAAGCTTCCGATATAAATCTAAAAACCACATTTCCATTTAGAATCAGTATGACAAATTTTAGTAGTACTTTTAACAGTCTGCATATTTTCACAACTACTAATCACAGACTCGGAGTACCTCTCATCGTCATTGAAATCTCCAACGCACTTGGTACTCAAGCCACTCGGTTTCTCCTTACCCCAAATAAGTAGTTCAAAGACCTGAAAGTATACCTATACCGATGCCACGTACGGACCCCTTTTCGGCCGTTCCAATCAACGACAGCGAGCAAAGGCGTAGGTCGCGAGGGGGCTAATTGCGATATCGATTTTCTTCCCCTTCGCGGAGGAACACGGAGGAATCGCACTTCCGCTGAACTCGCGGGCGTTAAACGCCGCGGAGGCGGAAGACAGAGATAAAGGCGGACTGGTGCACGCGATGGCACTGAAGTTGTCTTTATTAGAGGCGGCGCATCCACGCAATAATCATAACACGATGCACGTTTCGCCAGGCGTGATCCCGTTCCAAGGGACATGTACCGAGGAATTCTCGCAACGCGAGTGAGCTTTAATTGTACGAACGGATCGAGCTGGTCGAATTACGTCCGCGCTTTTTATCCCGTCCTCGGCTTTTGCTGCTCCTCCGACAATGAGAACGATCCTTAAGAACCCCGTGGCGTATTCACCACTGGTTTTTCTCGGTACTCGAGAAAATAGGCTTCTTCGACGAATGGTTTTAGGAAAGATTTTGCTGGAGATCGATTGATAATTAATATTAGGAATGAATTTCCGAACGCTACGGTTTGTACTTCGTCTTAAATGTCGTTTCGCGAGCTTCGTATTGGGAGTTTATGGTAATGGAAACTGCAATGGCAATAGTATTATGAACTAATGTACGACGAATCACGTGAGCAAATGAAAATGTAGAGTTGTCGGTGGCTGGGAAGAAATCGATACAATAAGAGACGAGTTGAATTTCAAAATGGCTATGAAAGAATGTGCTTTCATTGCGTAATTCTTTCAGTAATCCGTTGCTTCCGTCCTAGGTATATCTACGTTGCGATACTATCTTTCGTGAAAGTATCCGCGAACCTTTTAAGAAGATGAATACATTTGTAAATATAAAGTTGATAAATACGAGTGTATAATTCATAGGATAAGTAGGTACTTGTTATTGTAGGTACCTCTGTAGGATACTTTTTCTTTTTTAATTGTTTCCGGAAGAATGCTTGTTTCTTAAATAGTTGTTTCGTACGTAAAGGGAAACGAGAGGACATTATTTATGCGCGATTTTTCGCCGTTTCCTCGATAATTCTCTCGAAACGATTTTCGACGAGAGGAAAAAGCGCGGAAGAGAATGCAGTCGCGATAGGAAATGCATCGTGAAGAATAGAAGGGACGTCGGTGCTCTTATCTGACCTATATTGTCAACTTCGAAGCTCCCATCCGGCAAGTTTATATCGCAGACGAGAGGTATAGGATAGACCTCTCATCTTATGGGACTTCGTGTTCCATGTTCTGAAATACCGATCGCGCAAAAAATTAGAACACTAGCGCTCTGCGATTTACAACGGCCAGTTCAGGAGTTATATACCCGACTGCCCAACTTGAGATAAAAAGACTCCGAGAGGTTACCTTCCGTTATACGTGCATTCAAATATCCAAATATCTGCTTATATTAATAATTACAAATGGAAAATAATAGGGAATTTTTGTTATTTAAATAATATTTTATATTATTTAATTTGTAGCGTTGAATTCGAAGCTGAGGTTAAACAACGATCGATATCAATGTTAAATGGATGTGTTTAAACGTGTTTCGCAAGGGAAGGATATTTAGTAGCGGAGTCTCTCTGAAAAATGTATGAAACATTAACTAACACGCTTATGAATTTTTCGGACTTTTTGAGGGATATATCCGCGAGTGTTCTTCCGAGTTGCCACGTTTTTTCATTTACACTATACCCGAGTTTATGAATTATTATGTTCTTCAGTAAAGTATACATTCTTTTTCCTTGTGTGCCTTGCATTTTTCATTTTCCACGCATTACAGGATTTATATTTAATACTCGGCTAGTCTTGCTTAGTAACCATTCGATGACCACTCGTCGATTTTATTTTTTATTTAGTTTCAAAAATCGGGGAAGGTTGTTCCGACCAGTTACATTTCGAGAACTGATACCACCAGTCGTTTTATTGCATTAATATATCGAATAAGAAGAAGCGACAAAATATAATAAATATAATAAATTACTGTATACACCTAATTCTGTTTTTGCACGATAGATACGTTAGCGAAGAATACGTGTAAAAGAAATTCGTGTAAAAATATATATTGCATCTATGAAAAAATAGGAGATTGGTTGTAGTCCCAAGAAATCAGTAAAAATAATACAATAAACCATGAGTTTTCATGTCAGGATCTTAAACATTTTATTTCATAAAGATCGCGCATGTATCGTACAAAGTAAATTATCATTTGAAAAGGAAAACAAACATGTCACTAATTCATGAATACAAAAATTAGGCAAGATAATATGGGTTACACATAAAAAGATTTTATTCGTTGTCACTTATATTTTAATTATATCGTCACATATTGTAGGCTAAGGGAATAATGAAACAAAGGTTTTAAAACTATAACTAACCATTTATTGACATTTACGGAAAATTAATTCCTCGTTTCCAATGTCGTAGTTATAAAGATAAAAATAAAGCAAAATTTTCTTCTTAGAATTTGGATCGATCGTGTTAAATCGAAATAAGTCGTGTAAAAATGGAATTAAATTCTTTTCCTAATTCGTGTTGAATCAAAATCGTGTAAAAGAAGTTCGTGTGAAAATGGAATTAGGTGTACAAGTAATTATGAAATTACGAGGATCATCTCTTTAGTTCTAAATAATTATAAAATAGATACCTAGCTTAAGTTTCGTTGTTCTTGTTCTCTGTACAAATATAGGTTATCCAACTTGAAAGAATCCTGGTTTCCCTTTTATCGTCTTCAACGTTCGCTAAATAAAACACTCGATTCTTCTCACGACTGTCAGTGCCCATTCGCTTTATGTAGTCGGGCACTACCTCTCATATTTACTGTAATCGTTAGCCTAGAAAGCGAGGTATTGACCGTAAAATCGAGAGTGACGAGAGAAAACGTCCACCATCGGAAAGCTTTCCGGAATCTGCTTATCCGGCGTCAAAGGCTGGTCGAATTCACTTTGCACGACATTCATAAAACGAGCACTTTCGGGATCTCTGTTTCACGCGGAGAAACTACCTCGGTTGGAAATGATCGCGCGTGTGACGATGAAAAAAGTCACGCTGAGAATTCGCTTATGGTTCATCCGTTTTTCGCCACTCGGAGTACCGATCTCGCGAATAAATTTCCAGAGAATGCGAAATTGTCCGGAAGGATTCGTTTCGCGAAAGGAGCATGCCTTTGCGAGCTGTGTTGCAACGATGTGCTACTTTTTTCGACGCCATGACACGGCCACCTGGTACCATCGGCAAGGTGGCAGCTTGCTAGACGGTTACATGGCGACCACTCGAAGAAATTCTCCCGTGTCAACTGTCGGATAGCGACCGTAGAATCTATGGCAAAAGGTTGTCGAGTGAAGACACGAATACTCTGATGGTAGAAATTGTTGAGAATCTTGGTTTCGCAAAAATCGTAAAAGCAATTTTATTAACCCTTTGCACTCGAGAGGTGACTCTTAGTCACCATTTCATAAAATTTGGAAGATCGATATTAATTAATATATCAAATTTAATGTAATGTAACAGTGTGCGAAATATCGAAGTCAAATAATTCTACAATTCTATTATTCTACAATTATTTTTTTATTGCTCGAAAAAATATCGTCAGTTTTTTAATACAGAATCTTTGATTTTCTACTCTT